CATGTATTTTATACATTTTCTTGCTGGTATGATCTGGTTTTCCTAATGAGAAAGCAATAGGATGAGAATAACAGAAACAAATGCCCTGACTCTGAACACAAACAACCAAAAGAACTTCCACTCACTATGCTGTTTTAATTTTACAGTTTAATGTATTTTCTGTAGAATCAATAAGTTCTAAAACATTTTTGTCAGAGATGCATACCCAGTATCTTCCCCTAATGGTAGAACCTTGATTATGTCAGAGAGATAAAGTGCTCAGCCAAAAAATGCACTTTCCTAGACTCCACAGCAGCTGGTGGTCACAACAAGTTCAAGTCAATTAAGATGAAAACTTTTCCCTACTGATACAGGCATACTCTTTCCTCTTCCTTCTTTCCTCTTCTAGCATAGAACACAAAGGTGTTATCTACAGGTGCAGCCTCTATCTTGAAACTATGCAAGAGGATACACACAAAGGTGAAAGCCTTCTTCCCAAACACTGAAAGCTCAAAATGCCAAGACCCTGATGAAATGGTGAAGCAATTGCAGACCTATTCTGTCTTTTACCTCATTCTGTCTAAGTTGCTATGTGGATTTTCATAATTCATATCTTTACATCCCAAATTAATATAAGATCACAATCACAGTTTAAATAATAATTTATCAATGTCTATTTTCAACTATTTAAAATTAAGTCAAAATGACTTAGACACTAAACAAAATACATAAGCGTTTCTGTTCCTAAGTTTTCTTCAGATCTATCTACTCTTTAATAACTTCAAGTCTTTTTTGTAATCAAAGACTTGATGTTAATCTCTGACCTACTGCAACAGGTCACAAATTAGTTTTATTGTCTATATTTCCTTACCAACTCCTGGTTACTAGAATAATCTTCAAGAAATCATTTTCTTTATGAACAGCCCTAAAATCATTCATTACCTCCGGGATCCTACACTGAACCCAAATAACTAGTTTCAAGTCTCCCACCATGTGAAATTCTTTGTAACAATCTCTTCAATTTTAATATACCTTTTGCACTAATGTTGAGTTACACTTATGGTGAATACTTTGTTGTCTAACTGTATCATTTCCTATGTGTTTCCTGACAATCTTCAACTCATTATTCTTCCCCACAAATTTTGAACTTGTTCCTCCCGTCCACCCAAATTATATCAGGAAGACTTTCTGACCCAAATCCTTTATATTATATCACTATGATTACTATGATCTTGAGGGATCCTTTAAAATTTCTTTTGCAAATATTTAAGAAAATTCTACAGTAAATATTGAAACGGTTATATGCTAAGTTGCTTAAAGGTAGGGATATTACCTACTTTCATTCTACTGCATGTTCAGCATATAGCAAGAGCTAAACGGACATGCCTGACAAAATTGAGTATAATACACTTAAAAATGAAGAAACTATTCACAAGACACTCATAAGGGTCTTACTAGATCTTACGGGTATCTATACAAGTATGGTCCATTAAAAATTTAAGATTCACTTAAAGTCTAAATTGATCAAAAATATACACATATGACAGAAAAATTTTTTACCAGTAGTAAATTTAACTATTTTGTAATAATCTTAAAACAAAACATTTAATAGTTTAATTTACAACTAAAATTTTAGTACATTTTCTGAAACACCTGAAAATTTTTTAGTGTTGAAAATTACAATATTTCTTTAATCAAACTCTCTATACATTATATATATAATCAAACTCTCATACATGCTAACGAAAGATATGTATTGTTTATATTGTGAGGAAGATATTTTTTAAAGTAAAGACTGGTTAAAACTTTGCAAAAGAGGGTCAGGGATTTAGCTCAGTGGTTTCTCCGCCTGCTGCGCAAGCACAAGAACCCGAGTTTGATCCCTGGTACCAAAAACAAACAAAACAAAAACGTTGCAAAAGAAAAAATTATTTCAAAATTCTTTTTTTCTTTTTTGGTACCAGGAATTGAACTTGGGTCCTTGCACTTGTGGGGCAGGTGGCAGAACCACTGAGCTAAATCCCTATCCTTCAAAATTATTTCTAACATGAACTTAAACACTAATAAAATATAATTATAGTATATATGTGAGTCCAATATTTTTCCTGCATGGTAATTATAAGGAAAATTATAGCATATTCAATCCTAACTTTATTTTCAAATTTAAATTATTTTTAGTAATTATGCTTTATTACTATAGTATTGCACTTTAATGGCAATAGAGATAAAGATAAATGTTTTTCTTCATTTAAATTTTGGCAGCCTTAACTCTCAAATCTCAAAGATAAAATTTGATTTAAAAGCCCACTCAGAACAAACCACTTAATCAGAAATCTGGACTTGACAATTAAGGAGTTTCATCTCCCACAAAATATGGAGGGAAAACTCAACAGTCTTAAAACATAAAAATGTTCCTTTTTATGTAATGTTTTGTGAGTCAGACATAGAGAAAAAAATAAAAGCAGATAACCTTCCCTTAACTTGCTGGTTGTTACAATTCCTAAACCAAAGCTTTCAAATAACCTCCTCGTATCTTAAACATATAATTTTACACAGATAATATTTTTCTTCATACTGCAGTATCCTAGCAAGGGTTTACTTTCAACTCATTTGAATTCCTGAAAGTCCATAATTAGGTCACAATTTCATTTTAATGTCACCTGACCCTCAAGCTACAATATTTAAATTATTTACCCAGATGATCTGAGTTCATTTATGCCAATCATCAGTGGTTCAGTTTGAAAACTGAGAACTATCAGTAATTTAACATCACTCAGATCTCAAGACTACTGTATTCCTTAGCCCTTTTTCATGAAAATTGCCTAGTTTTGGTGTGTTTCTAAAATTGGCCAGAAATTTCAAGAGAAATGGTAGATTTTCAGTTTTCAAACGGACTATGAACTCAAACAATTTAAGAAGTCCTGTAGTGAACATAAGTGAAACAGGCCTAAATGGAATGAATCAAAGAATATGCCTTCATCTAAAGAGAGGCTACTATTTAGGTCCATCTGATTGTGGCTGTATTACTGTCAATGTCCAATTTTTCAAATGAAGCCAAAATTAAACTTGACTATGAAATCTAATTTTTAAATGTAATCAGTTAAGGCAGTGGATTTAGCCCAGTGGCACCTTGCCTGCCTGGCAAATTCAAGGTCCTGAATTCAATTCCCAGTACCAGAAGGAAAAAAAATGTAATCAGTTAACTTACTAAAAAGCAAAAACATTATTTGGGCTTAATAAAATTTATTCGCAGGCCAAACACAGTACCTGAACTGCCAGTTTATGGCCTCTGGTTCTTCCTCCCCATTACAGACAGCTAGTTGATGAAATCCCTCCAATCTGAACACAAACCAGCTTCCTAAGTTGGTCTACTTGCTTTTATGAACTGAACATGCAAATCTCAGGTTCTCTCAAAGCTACCTGCAGTCTCATAGGCAGGGCTACTGTTCACTCGAGAAGCAGAGATCATGGTGACTGTTGAGTCTACAGTGAATCTTCAAAATGAGACTTAGCAGACCTAGACCATTTTTCTTTCAAAGTGTATGTCTATGTTAAAAATGTCAGAGATAAAATTTATACATGCCAAAACTGTCCCAACTTCACACAAGAAATATCTTTGAAACAACGTGTATTTTCCAGCAGTTTGTCTCTTCTTACATGCTGCTTTAAACAAATCAGGAAGAGTGATTCCAGTTTGAATTTCAACTCTGAAAAGCTTGTTTTCATACAGGTATTTTTAAAGAAAAATTGCGAGATAATAGTGGGAAATTTTTCAAGACATAGGAAAAAGAAAGCCAACAAAGATTTAAGACATCAATAAGATGGCTTCTCTTGTTCTTTCATTTTTCTTTTTTTGGTACTAAGGATTAAATCTAAAGCAAGCACTCTATCACAAAGCTGTATCCCCAGCCAGCACTTTTTATTTTCTATTTTGAGACAAGATCTCGCTATGTTGCTGAGGCTGACTTTGAATTTGCAATCCTATGGCTATAGCCTCCTGGGTAGCTGAGATTACAGGTGTGCACCACGAATCCTGGCTCATTTAGTGTTGTGCTCTCATATAAAGGAAATTAAAGCTATTAGGGGACTCGAAAAGTTATTGTCAGTCACATTGTACTTCCTGAACTTAAGACAATATAAGAGGTCTGATATACTCAAATAATAAAACATTTTTCATGTTAGCTTTCTCAAAAAAGTGTTATTTTTATTTCTGAAGACTTAAAATGGTAGAAATCATTTCCTTTATAGTCATTTTATATAGAGAGAAACTGAAACCTTATAGAATAAGTTTCCTCTTCTATTTCTGAAGCATTTAAGACTGGCACTAATTCTTTAAAAGTTTGGTAGAATTCACCATTGAAGCTGTCCAGTGTGGGTTTTTCTTGTTGAGATTTCTGATGACTCAGTCTCCTTATACAGGTGCTCAGATTTTCTATTTCTTCATGACTCACTCTTAGAAGATTGCTTCTAGAAATGCATCCATTCTTCAAGGTTATATAATTAGTTGATATGTAATTGTTTAAAACAGTTCCTTATGAAGCCTGAATGAGTGGCTTCTTTCCAGGGTCTGCAGTACTGGTATCCACCAGACATGGAGGAAAGACAATGAGTCACCACTAAGACCTATTTTGTTTCCATACTCACGTTTTTGTGTGTGAATGCTTGTTATTATTAACTGTGGTATCAACTTGAGTAAGAAACACCTAGCCAACTGGTTTAGCAGAGTTCTGGATGTGTACCTAGATTTGACTGAATGTTGTCTTTCTTTGGAAATTAAATTCATTGCATATTTTTGGTTAAATATAACCCTACAAACTTAATTTTAAAAAGTACATCTCTTAAAGTTATTTAATATAGTGAGATTTTATTTTTGATATTTAAAATATTTGCAATAGCAACAAAACAAAATGAACTAAAGGCAATTTAAAATGAACAAATATAATTGCTAAAAAGAAAGTAAAGCAGTCCTATGTATTACCTGGCATATTACAATGGCCGCAAAAAATATACAAATACACACATTCCTCATTCTGCCAATATTTTAATAATCCACAATATAAATTAATACGTAAAAAGTGATTTTATGACATGTTGCCATCTAAAATAAACCATCATATAATTTTCAAAAACATGTTCTTTGACTTCTAACCTCTGCTCTTCTTTAGAATTACCTGTGGGGAAAAAATAGAGATTCATATTACACCAATAAAAAATAAAACAATTTCTCAACGAGAAGTTAAACAGCCTTAAGAACCTAATATACACATCTAAATATATAAAAGCCAATTTGGAAAGAATTAGTGAATCCTTTGCCTTATAAATGATTTAAATTTTCTCTAAAATGGGCTTCTTGGGCCAGGGATGTAGCTCAGTGGTGCCACACTTGCCTGGCAAGCACAAGGTCCTGAGTTCGATCCCCAGTACCAAAAAAAAGAACATAGGCATAAAATGGGCTTCTTCTCTCAATGAATATTAAACATGCCTAGATTCTCAAAACCTGGTTTTATAGGCACCTCTAAACATTAATCTCTTCAACTGTAATTCAAAAGTATCCAGATTAATGGTTTCAAACTTGAGGATTTTAGACAGTTATCCAAGAATATTCAAAAACCCTGAAAGCCTATTATAAATCAAGCATTTCAGGATTATAAAATAGTATAAACCCAGTGCAACATAAAATTTCTCATATTAGGGGTGCAATTATATCAATTGGAAACCAAGACTGTTCATCTTTTGCTGAATACCTTATTAAGTAGTTAATTTTCAAAACATACAACTGGTGGCAGAAGACAAAAGATCGTTAATTGTAAGTATGCAAAGTGGACCAGGCTAGAATATGTCCAATTTTTTAAAAAAGAATTTAGTTATTATTTTAGGTAAGCCACCTATAATTTATTATAAACAAATCCTAAATTTAAAACACATACATACTCTTTAAGGTCTTAATCCTTATTTTATTTTCAGAAATAATACTTATTTTGATTTTAATATTTAAAATGTTTGTAATTACAAGAGAATTTAAAAGTACCCATTCTAGGCTTCCCACACATAGCACTGAATAGGTCCATTACATAGGCCAGTACTTCACTGTCCTGCAAGATATTACTACAGGCATTGCAAAAAACAGTATCATGTATTCAAATGAATTTACAAAATGCTGAATATATTATATATTCAAATGAATTTACAAAATGCTCAGTGCAGCAGAATTCAGCAAGTTTCATTCCTGGTATATTTTTCATAAATTTATATAAATATAGTTTTTAATACCTTGTTGGTCTACACTTTGAAATAAACTTTTTTTAAGTATGAACAAAGAGAAAGTCTGACAAAAATAAGTTTCTTCCACATCATCCCCTAGTCAACCATTACTGCCAGTTTCTTGAATATTATTGTGGAAACCAGCTCTACACATAAATAATAGCACTATGACTGATCAAGGAGATATTATGGTATGTTAGATTATTAACATTTATCTCAGCACAAAAGCTTCTGAGAAGAGAATTTATTAACATCTTTTGGAAATAATTTTCTCAGAAACATATCTGGAAAACTGCTCTACCTGGTACATTTGTCCATTATATAGAAATACCAGTTAAAAAAAAACAATCTTCTCTGTTTATAAGAGATTTCATTAATAAGTCACTCATACGCCATAAAACCAATTAATCAGGTAATTGGGGTAACTTAAAATGATGAAGAAAATTCTGCAAATTTCAAGGTTATAAAACTTTCCAGCAATCATTCATTTTCCCCTAAACAGTAATAAAGCAGTGGCAATTAATCCTGTAGTCAGAAATCTACAATGGGAAACATCTAAATCCTTTCATTAAAACTCATCAACAAAAGAAGCCAAGTATCAACTCAGTCAACAAAGCTAAATAAAGTATCGAAATCAGGCAGAGGTGATGACCCCGATGGTATTTTTACAGTTAATTCTTGCTGTAGGAAAGAAAATTCAGGTTGTACCTTTGCTGCAGCCAACACATGATCCTTCTTAATTATTCCGCACTTATTCTCACAAGTGTTTATCCTGGCCTCTTCCGCTAACCGATGAATAAACAGTAAACAGTTCAAATGAATCTTTAAAAGAGAAAATATAAATGGATTTTTAAACCCAAACACTAATGTTTTGAAATAATAACTTTAAAATTTATAATGTAATTTAAATTTCAAAAATATGTTAAAACATAACTATATCTTAGGCTCTTATTTTATATTCCAAGATGCAAGATTTTTTAACTGAAGTTATTATTACAGGTTTGTAGTACATAATTACATTCACCATGGGGAACTGGTACATTTACATAATACATCTTTTTTTTTTAAATGTCTCCTTCCCTTTCTCTCCCCTCCCGCTACTTCTCTATCCTCTTCAAGCAGAGTCAATTTAAAATAGCTATTTAAAACCTGGCATGGTGGCACACATCTGTAAATCTAGCACTCTGGAAGCTGAGGCAGGAGGGTCACAAGTTCAAGCCTAGCCTGGGCAACTTAGCAAGACTCTGTCTCAAAGTAAAAAATAATTAAATAAAAAGGGCTGAGGATTTAGCTCAGTGCAAAGATCATAGATTCATACGCCAGTAGCACCTCTCCCCGAAATTAAAATATTAATTAAAATTTTTAAAGAATGCCAAATTTGAAAGTTTATGTTCTTTCAAATCATTACTTATCATTACTTATTACCTGTGAACTATCATCATATAATCAAACTGTTAATAATCTTTAAGCCTTTTTTAAAAATTTACTTGAAATAGATAATACAGGACTATAGTTTTATAAGCTACTAGCATTGTGGGAAGCTAGGTAAAAGATAGATGGGAATTCTGTACTGTTTTCAGACCTTCTTGTGAGTCTATGATTTCCAAATAAAAATATATAAAAAAAAAATGTACAAAGAAGTAGACTTCAAATATTAGTCTCTCTCTTTCATCATTCCCCAGCCAATCAGAGTAGTCAGTTTCTTACACATTCTCACAAAAACAAGCTTTGTGTATATCCAAAGCGCATATATCATTAGACTATATAATATTGTATAGTATATAACTATCTTATATTAGATAATGATATATATCTCATTAGAAAGTGATATGATATACATTTTGCCTAAAAATATTATACTCCCAATCAACATCCAAACAACAAAAAAAGTGCTATTCAGTGTATACACATGTACCTTGAAAAAGTTAAGGCACACACAGTCCAAACAAGAGATAATGTGAAGTGAGCTGCAGTCCTCCATGTCAATCTTCCTCTGAGATCACATGAAGTGCTTGCTCCCTTAGATTACTGCTATCTTCCCCACCCTTTGCTTCTACCAGGTACCTGAGGGCGCTATCAACTTAGATCCAGTGAGACAGTATCTTTATTTTTTATCTTTTATTTGTACATGTTTGGAGTACATGATGTTTACATTCATCTCAGAGAATAGGTACATGTACTGAACCTATCTTGCTTTTTATCCCTCTTTTCCTCCCCACCACCTCTTTCCGACTATCTCTAGATCCCCTTTCCGCATTTTCATTATTTTCTAGTTCATGTTTATGACATATAAAGATTACATTTACTGAGGATAGTTGGTATATGTCCGTGATGCATCTTAAATCTTTTTATGTCCTGTCCCCTTCACTCCCCGACCTGCAGACTCTTGGTCCCCTTTCCGACTGCTAAAGAGTAACTTTAACACATATTTTCTTTTATTATGTACGTCGAAGGTAGTATGTCATCTTTGCAGTTAGAATAATTCATACACAATAGTTAATACTCACTATCTTGTGTGCTGCAAACACAACTTACTAAATGTTAAATAATTGAGTAGTATTTCAAATGCTTTATATCATGCAAAAACCTTTAATAGACTCTTCTAGTGTGTTCTAGTGATAATCAGGAAAATAGGAGTTTAAGAACTTAAACTTAGTAAGATGAAGAATCTATGAAAGATACTCTTTTGATACTTTTTTTGTTGAATTTTCCTGTTTAATTCTCACAAGTAATGAGGTAAAGTACTATAATTCTTATTCTTTACATTATCATGCCATTCCATTTTTTAAACACGTCCAATAACATTCCACTTCTATTGCAAAAACATTCCATAACATGGCACAATTTCATTGGTTAATCCTTATTTTCTACTTTAAAAGACAAATAGCTTCCACATATCCTCAGGATAAATTCTAAATTCCTTCACAATAAAGTGTACTTGACTAGGGCTTTCCAGTTTCATCTCCTGCCTTCCTCAGCTCCCAGTTCTACACTGTGTCTTCTGAAGTACTTTAGAATTCCAATGCATCTTTGCCTCCAGAAATCGGTCTGGTTTATAGATTTCCCTGAGAAGCCCAACCTCCCAGTATGAAAGATTATGTGGATTGACAGCACCCTGAGGCTCCTATCACAGCACACAGTACACTATGTTGTAGTTTCTTACTTAACTTCTTCCTCCATGTACTCGTAACAGCAAGAACTACAGCTATCCTTCTCAACACTGTTTCCCCAGTGACTTTCTGCCATTGCCCAACACACAGTAAATTATTATTAATGCATGAAGAAAATATTCTTCCATATCTCCTTGAATAAAGAAGAAAACTAAAACAAAGTCAAAAAACTTTTTTAAAAGTCCTAGTTAAACATAATTTTGAGATATGAATCATGCTTAGCCTACAAAGAATGCACTTTCCTTTTCCCCTTCATGAATATGAGCCATGGAAAATGACAAAAGTTACTTTTCTTTATTAGATGACACAAAAAAATTCTTTATTAGATGACACAAAAAAATTTTAAGCACTCAAATGTATGAGGGCTTAAATTTAAAATGCTATTTAGCTAGGCATTTAAATCTTAAATAGGTAAGTTATTCCATCAAGAATTACTTTAGCTGGGGATTTAGCTCAGTGGTTCCACTGCCTGCCTCGCAAGTGCAAGGTCCCAAGTTCAATCCCTGGTACACATACACATACACACACACACACACACACACACACACAAAAAGAATTTACTTTTAAAAAAATCAGCTTGCTGAAAAGGCACAAAAACGTCCATGTTTTTAGTCTCAGTTGACTAAAAGACTAGGCCATCACAACTTCCTCCTCCCTGTCATAGCACTTTTAAATTTTACATAAACCATAAGTGCCCAAACAGTTGCACAGCATTCCTCTGTGATAAATCTAGAAGCTAGAGTTACTAGGAAACTGAATTATTTAAATTTGACAGGTGTTGTATCTTTTACCACTACAGACCCTGGAGATATACAATCAGATAAGGCATAAAACATAATGAAAAGCCAGTGCAGAAAAGCTACAACACAAAGAACTTACAGGTACTAGAAATGACATCAACCCACATATACTTACCATCTATTTCCAACGTTAACTGTCCATTCAAAATGCTTACTATACTGTGCTAAACACTATGAATACAAAAAGTTGCCAATCCATGTTCCCAGACTAGTGGGAGAAACAAACCCATAAAGAAATTAATGACAAATATGACAACAGGTGATAGATAAAATGGATCCTTTTTAAGAACATTGAGGAGGGTTTCAGCAAAGTGGCATTTTAACTGGATTTTGAAAGAATTGTAGTTTGCCGAGTGGAGGGAAGGCATCCTCAGGCAGAAAAACATCATGTACAAAAGAAAGCATAAAAGATTAGTTTTGGGGCCAGGGATTTAGCTCAGTGGTTCCACCATGTACCTCGCAAGCGCAAGGTCCCAAGTTAGATCCCCAGTACCACAAAAAAAGATTAGTTTTGTGTTAAAAAAATAAAGGGAGATATGGTTCTTTACCTTCAGGATGTTGCATGCTACGCTAAGACACATCAACACACACAATGCCTACAGAACAGCACTGCAGTCCCAACAGCTAAACTGTATGATGTATCCTAACTGCTCAAAAAGTCTGTGTTCAAACAGACAAGACTGACTTAGCTGCTAAAAAACTTTAGAAATGTGGGGCACCTGCTGGGTAAGATTACAAATTGTCAATAGTGACCAGAAAGCCATAAGCAAAGAAATGAGGTCGCATGGCATATACAAGACAGTATAGGAGACCTGCTTAATGAAAGCCATAGAAGACAAGCAGAAGCTGGTGGCCAAAAGACCTTCCTTTCCCCCACCAATGCAAAGGTCTGAATTTCAACTCTCCTTCTTTTCCATGCCACCTAGATCTCACCCCACCATGGGGCTTACTTGTGCAAAGGCCACTCCAGGGCAGGAAGGGGTGAATGTTGAGATGATGATAGCTACTTGAGAAATTTCTGCAAACCATCTTTACCAGCTGGTCTCCTGGATGTCCTTGATCAGCTACATTTCCTCCTCTTCATTTAGAAGTCCCAGTGAAAACTTGAGAATAAACTACATTAAATCACTGAAAGTGAATTTATCTAATGCAGCTCATTGGTGCCACTTCTACACCACCAAAGGGTAGGAGTGGGGGCACAACAGTATATTGATAGGTCTCCCATTACCTCAGCAGCCATTATGTATAGTAGCTGCCCTCTTCCTATGGTGCCTTGCCCCCTCCCCTGGGTGACATCACGCCAAGATGGTTGCTCCCACCAAAGAACAAACCCTTCTTCCCAGCATGCCCCTGTTCCCACCTAGAGAGTAACCTAATACTCGCTCACCTCCTACCATCTAGTGATGTCACTGGCTCCTCCATTCCCTAGTCACTACCTCACTCAGCCCCACCCCAGTCTCTACAAAAGACTCTCCCTGCCCCAGCCATATTGCTTTTGTCTCTCCTTTGTTCAGAGACAGCCTGGCAGATCTGTTCCCCTAATAAAGGCTTGTTGTGGCCTGGTCTGGTGTTGGTCTTCGGCCTTTTACCTGACACATATATTGTCCTTTCTTATATAATATGCGGAAGAAACAAAAAGGAGGGCAGGAGGTAACAGAAGTAGTTTTCCTGACGTGGGGAAAGGGTGTCTTGGCTTCAGAGACCAAACAAGAGAAAAGTGGAGATAATTCTACAGTCTAGAAAAAAAGACAACCCTTACCAGGAGGCAACAGACAAGAAGACAATGGAAAACTCCACGTTACACAGAAAAAAAGAAGTAAAAAAAAATGTAGTTTAAGAACAGCTGGAATGATGAATGTCCAAGACTATCCATGCAGCATGCCCTGGCTATCCACAATTCTCTGCGTTAATCTCGTGGAAATCACCCATTCCTAGTAGCTCCTTTACTCAGTTCTTGTGACATGCCACAAGAAGTGCCTTCTATGGTTTAAACCTGTGGAAATAGTGCCCATTCTATTATAGAAATAGGTTATAGGCACCCAACACACAAACTCTGTATTGCATACCGATTTGACTGGGGGTTTTTATCAGGGAAGCCTTACGCTTCCGGCATTACACGTCAATGGCTTTTGTAACTAATAGGTGTTATATTGTCCCTCTAGGAAGATGAACTCACAGTTGAGCACCCTTTGGATCAGCGCTTCAGTGAGCAGCCTACCAAACAGGTCGTTGTGTTCGGTCAACACACTGAGAAAGCAAGCCGTTTAAGAATGACGCAGGCTGAATTCCAAAAATCTATTTTCAAAGGGTGTCTGTGGCATGCCCTTCGCAAGCACGCTAACCACCAGCCCATACTGCGTTCCGTTCAGGATATGCAAAAGCCCTGAGGGTTCTCGGCACAGTTTTGTCACTGAGCTGACGTGTTACGGTCGTCTCGGTAAACGGCCGACTTCTCCATGGCAGGTCCCACCGCGGGCTGGCGGCAGGCAGGCGCAGAGCCACCCCGCCGCCGCCGGAAGTACCTAAACCCGACCCGGGGCGAAGAAGCAAAACCGGCCGCTGGCCCCACCGGCCCAGCCGGGAGAGCGGGCGCTCACCAGGACGTCGCCGCGCGTCTCCAGACGAAGGTGGGGCTTCTGCCGCTTGAAGACGCGCCTGAGGAAGCCGCGGGGAGCTTTGCGCTTGATCTGCTTCCTCTGGAAGACTGTGGCCGAGACCGCCATGCCCCGCTCAGGCACCCACCTCCTCGGCATCCAAGAGGCTCGGAGCCGCCCTGGAGCTCAGGAAGGTTAGGCCAGTGAGGACCAACCAAGCCCTCCCCCGCGTCTTCAGTCTCAGACGACAGCTCCACAGTTTGAATCCGCCGCCAACGCTGCGTGCCGGCGCCCGGAAGTGACGTCTCCCGCACGAGCCGCGCCGCCGGAAGCGCCTGATGATTGACGTCAGCAGTGGACGCGACCGGGCGCCGCCTGACGTCATGGAGAGGCTGAGGCTGCCGCTCATTCTTGTAGTGGGAACCGTTCTATGAGGCTGTTTCACCTCGCATCCCTGAGATGATGGGGAGATGTGTGAGTCCCTAAGTCAGGGCAGCGTCACTTGCTCTCCAAGTTCTCACTCCAACACTGAGCCTAGTACCCATGGACTGAAATGATCATTGCAGCATAATTCATAATCCCTAAAATTTGAAAGTGGCCTGTATGTCCATCAACAGATGAATCAATAAATAAAATGTAGTATTTACACACAATGGAGTATTGCCCTGGCATAAAGATAAACGAGTCATGTACAAGAAAATGGATGCACCTTGAGACCATACTAAAATTTTTTTCCCCCATTTGGTACCAGGGATTGAACTCTAGTCCTTGTGCTTTCGAGGCAGGTGGCAGAACCACTGAGCTAAATCGCCAGCCCCGACACCACATTGTTAGATGAACTAAACCATACACACAAGCTTAGGTTTCTCTTATATGAAAAACTCAAATTATAAATAAATTAAAAAGCAAAATAAAAGATGCATAATAGGAAACAGGGAGAGAAATCTTTTGCAAATGAAAAGAGGACTAAGATGGAGGGATGAGGGATTGAAACAAAGGGACATATTAAAAAGAACTAAGATGTGATATATATATGCCAGCTCCCACGAGGAATGTAATCATTATATACTGCAAACATGTGCTAATAAAGGTTTTGAAAAGAAGTTTGATTGTTGTATCAGGATTCCTTAAGAACCACTGTCTTCCTACCAATGTCTGATTTTCTGGTATTAACAGTTAACAGTTTACCCTTTTACACAATTTCATTTGAGTTTAGCTCTTCTAGTGTTTCTAACTTTTTTTTTTTTTTACAAACTTTGCTCCCTTTAAATTTAAGACCTCTCCCACTAAACCTTATAATCTGTGATTTTCTAGGGTAGTTTAATGCTAATTCATTGAAGCCTTTCTTACCTCTCCAAGAAGTGAACTTCTCCATCTTCTGTGTGACCATAACATTGGTTCTCAAACTTCAGTCAGCCTCAGAACCATCCAGGGGACTCATTAGAATGCTGCAGGTTACCACTTCCAGATTTTCTGATTCACTACATCTGAGTGCACTCATGTGTCCACACTGCCAGTTGATACAGCTTGGCTCCTCTTTGAGATCCAACTGTACTAATTGCTGTGGTCCAAACATCCTTCCACTCACTGTCTGACCTCCCAATTACAGGACTTCCTTTCTGCCAGTGATCTTGTCTTACCACCTACAAGTCACTCACACCTGTGTTTATATGCTACACTTCATTGGTACCAAATACTGAACTCTTCCATAACCTCAATGCAGTTGTGTCACTCTTGAACCCCATGTCCTAGATTTTGAACTTCCTCTTTCCATTACTGCAACTCCAGCCATTCTTAGATGCCACTGGGATCACTGTCCTCTCTCTTTTCTGTCCCTGCCAGAACCCACTCCCACTCTATGCTTATCCTCTCTGTTGTACCCCATTATACTGTCACCTTGTGTTTCCCCTTTCACTGCTTTTGCCCATCATTGACACAGCTCAACTCGGCCAGCTAACTTCTCTATCTGTTCTATGTATGTATCTGTGCACTAATATTAGCTTAAGAAAACCACATGCATAGTTCTGTGTTTCATCTCAGTTTAAATTCAGGATCACCCAAATGAGCTCTAAGTATTGCTACAACCCTTTGACATTTGCTAAAGCATTTTATTCACTCACCCTCTTAAATAACTATGTCATGCCTTTTTCCCTCACTTCCTGCCCCATCTCTACTCAGCTTCACTAGCAAAATAGAAACAACTCTTAGGGATTTTCACTATGCATTTTAAAACCACATCTACACACCAGATTTCCAGGTGTTCCCATAAATGGCATGACAGCCACTCCACTTGTGCATTCTCCCTATTTAAAAGACACTAGCTAGCAGTTCTCCCTTTTCTTTTGCTTTATGATTTTTTCCTTTTTGGTGAATTTTTTTTCTCCATCACACACACATGCTATATTTTGAGTCTTTTGAAAATCCTTACTTGACCCTATTTTTAGCTGTTTCCTTTTTGCATAACAACTAGAAACAGCTAGCTAAATCCAATATCTACAATTTCTCTTTCCCATTTTCTCTTGAATCACACATTGGTACATCTCTGTCCACGAAAATTCTTTGGGCACAAACAACCACTAATATGAGACTTTTGAAACAGTGATCAATTTTCAGGCTCTAGCTGATTCGACTAACCAGAAGTAATTGTCAAGTTTCATGATTCTTTGTTCCAAGAAAACATTTTCTTTAAATGGATACAATTCTCTGTCTGATTCCTTCTTATCTCCCTGGCCTCTAAATCTTAATTACTCCATGACTCAGTCCTCACACATCTCTACTTTTATTTGTGTGTGATCTCATCTCATAAACTTTTTTTATTCATTTATTGGTCCATTTTAGGTATACAATACATTTACATTTATCATTGGGTGCTTGTACCTGTACATGACATATCTTAGTTCTTATTTTTTTCCTCATTGCCTGTGCTCCCTTCACTCCCCTCCACCCTTCCCTATTTACATAAATGTCATTTCCACTTTTTTTCTTTTCTCATAATTTTTCCTTTCCCTTCTTCCCTTTCTCCTTCCCCTCCTACCACCCCTACACCTTTCATCTCATAAATTTAATGAATAAAAATAAATAAATAAAAACTGTAAGTATAAAAAAAAGCAAAACTCATTGGTTCTTTTCTTCCTTAAATTTCAGAAATGCAGACTCAGTTCTCCACCGGGGTAGCACTCCGAACGTCCTCCTGAGTATGACAGGTCCCAAATTAGCCCTGGACCTTCCCTGTGCCCTCAGCCATCCCCTCCCACTCTTCCCACTCACAGCTGATGCTACTTCCATCCTTCCAACTACTCAGGCCCAAATCTGTGGCTCAGCTTCGCCTTCCCTCTTTCTCACACCTATCATGGTGTCTTGCAGCGAACAGCTCCGCTCTATTTAACTCTCTGATCACATCTCATGACCCCACTGCTGTTACTTCTGCCCAAGCGACCATCATCTATCACTTGGATTGTAGCAACGCCATCTCTATCTCAGCTTGTTTCTATTTACTTTAAACAAACAAGTCGTATTTACCTAGATCATGTCACTATTGCCCCTCCAACTCCTCCAATGGCTTCCCATCCATCTAAAAAAACTAAAAAACCAAACAAACAAAAACCAAGTTCCTACAATGACCTATGTAAAGCAAGAAATCATAAACAACGTTCAAAGCAAAGACCATTTAAGTAATATATTTGCAAATCAATAGACACCAATTAAACATGTTCTGTCAAGGAGGAGGAAGAGGACTAGATTTATAAAAGGGAAAAGCCAAATGATTGGGTGAGGGAAAGTAATTTGTTTTGAGCAATTTTTGATTGGTTATTATGGTTACCCAAATTTTTGAACAAATTTAGATTGGTGGAAGCAATCTGTCCATACATTAAATTGTGGTTGCTACAGGCCTATGGCAAGGGGATTATTAGTAAACAATAATTCTTTTAAATAAAGAGCAAGTCAGCAGAAGTCCCAGAATTGGAAGCTGTTCCTATTTGGGATGTTGTAAACAACCACAGTCTTTCAAACAATATTCTTTTAATCTGAAAGGCAGACTGAGAGACCTGTGTCAATGGGGAACTGCTGCTTGTCAAAGGTGATTTCTGAGGCTCACCAAAGTTTGCTCTTTCTCTCAACCATACTGCAGTCATGTTAATTTTTATATCCACACCTAAGAGGACTTATTGCCCTCACAAGTGAAGACGCAAACACATAATTAACTCTCTGGCCTTATTTCCCACAACTGAGCAAATTACCCCCATCAGTTGTATTAGCCTCCTTGATGACAGCTGTAGTGTTAATGTTTGTGCCCTCCCAAAATGAAGTTGCTGAAACCTAATGAGCAATGTGATGGTATTGGAGGGAGGGTGTTTCTGAGGTTATTAGGTCTTGCATTTCCATGAATTGAATTAATATCCTTATACCAAAAAGAAATCCTAAAAGACAGTCTCCACTTTTCAGCATGTCAGGACACAGCTGGAGGCAGCATCTGGGAATCAGAAGGAGGGTGCTCAAGAGGACACATCTATCCCTGGCAACCTTACTGATAGTGGATTTCTCAGCTTCCAGAACTGTGAGAAATGAATTTCTGTTAGTTTATAAGCCACCCAGTATGTTACAGTAGCCCAAACAGACCAAGACAATGTCCCTTGGGAACATCTGAAATACATCAAAACCACTGAAAGACAACCCTCCATCAGATGTTTGCACTTACTATTCCCTCTTCCAGGAATTTTTTTCCTCACTTATCTGTTCAGGCAGTTACTTCACCTCTTTGAGGTTTCTACTCTGACAAGTCTCAGAAAGAAATTCTATTTAAAATAGAGACTCTACACCTGTACCCACATATATACTTAGAAATACACATGCCCACATATACCCAGGAATAAGTAGGAGCTGATACCGCTTCCTTGCTCTGTGGTCAGGGACATTACATTGGCTGCTATGATGTGGTCCTGGGATGAGTATGTACACCAAGGAAATTATCAAATACTACAAAGCACATATTTTGTTGTATTTTTCTGAAAGCAAGTTATTAAATAGTTATCAACAAAAACTGTACATATCCCTGCTGTCCTGAACTTCCTGGCCCTCATTGTGGTTTGCTTGTTTGTATAACATATTTCACTATCTATTATTTGCTTGTGCAAATAGAAAACTCTTAGTACCCATACAGCCTTATAATAAAAAGAATTTGAGACAAATATTCATTAAGAGAAAAATGGAAATACTAATTTTAACATGTATTAGTTTTCTATTGATAATCTAACATATTACCAAAGACTTTATGTCTTAAAATAACACAAATTTATCATCTTACAATTCTGAAAATTAGAA